GCTCTGTGCGCAGGTCGGGTTCTCGTAAGGGGCATCGGCGCTTTCGCAGTTCGCCCCATTGACGGGGCAATGAGGGGAAAGCTTGCTCTGTTCACTCATACCTGGTCCCACGATCCGTGAGCTTTCCGGGTCATGCCCTGCCTGGCAGGGCAGGCCTCTTCTGCTGCGCTCTGTTGGGTCATCTTGGAGTGGGCACCTGGGCGTGGTCAAAACGACAATGTCCCTCAGGTGGGTTTCCCGCCTGTTTCCAGTCCCGAAACGGAACTGTGGACCTGCGGTTCATTCTGGACTTGTCCCGTCTGAACCCCTGGGTTTTTTGCCCCCTCCTTTCGGATGACCACTCTGTCCCAGGTCTGGCTTCTTTTGTAGCCGGGTGCTTGGATGGTGTCCCTGGACCTCAAGGACGCCTATTTGCACGTCCCAATTCATCCGAGGTTCAGGGACAGGCTCGGTTTTGTTGTGAGGCTTCAGTTACCGATTTTGTTTTCTCCCGTTTGGTTTGAACCTGGCACCTCGTGTGTTCACACGTCTTACCCGGGTCGTTGTGGCCCATCTGCGTCTGTTAGGTGTTCAGGTGTTGGCTTACCTCGACGACTGGCTGGTTTGGGCTCCTAGTCGGTCCGTGTTTCTGCTCGCCAGGGGAACCCAGCTAACCGGGTTCGGGTTTTGGGGGAACTGGCGGAAGTCCCATCTAGTTACCTCCCAGGTTCGGACCTGGCTGGGCCTTGTGTGGGACTCTTGGACCGCTTCCTTGTCTCTTCCTCCGGAGTCTCTCCTTCGGCTGCAGTCCAGCATGCGCTGGTTTCTGGGGGGCTCCCGGGTCACCTGGAGGTTGCTGGAGGGTCTGTGCGGGAGCCTGAACTTTGCGATGTTGGTCTACCTGCCGGGTTGGGTTTAGCTTCGTCGGCTGTTCTGGTTCCTTCGGGAGACATCCCTTCCACCTCTCTCGCGATCGGTGGGTTTGACCCCCGGGGGCCCTAACGTTGGATGCTGCATCGCCTGCTTCCTCTTTGGGTTTTTCGGGGTTCAGTACCTTGGAGCATAAACGAGCCCTCGCTCGATGTGTACACGGACGCGTCGTCTCGTGGTTGTTGCTTTGTGACCATTGATCGCCAGGCCAGCCAGGGGCGGTGGGGTTCGTCTTTCTGTTGGGCTCACAGCATGGTCATGGAGTTCGCAGCGGTGTGGATGTCGCTCCAGAGGGTTCAAGTCACTTGCGGAACGACGATCCGGCTCCATTCGGACTGCTCTCCAGTTGTTCATTGCCTGAACCGAGGAGGTTCGATGTGGTCCTTGGCTCTTTGGGGCTGGTTGCTTCGGGTGACTCGTATGCTGAGTTCTTGGGGTTTGGCTCTTCTGGAGGTTCACGTTTGGGGGGATGTCCAACGTCCTGGCAAATAGCCGGTCCCAGTTTGTTCCCCTGTTCACAGAATAGATGTTCGACGCCGACTTATTCAGTTGACTTTGCCAAACGTTCGGGCGCCCGGAGTTGGACCTTTTCGTGTCGGCCTGGTCGACACGTCTTCCAGTATATGTGACGCCCTTCCCTGACAGCGAGGCCGTCGGGATCGACGCCTTTTGGCAGGACTGGTCAAGGTGGGGGTTCCTGTACCTCTTTCCTCCAGTTCAGCTGTTGCTCCAGATCCTGGTTCGCTTGGAGACTTACCAAGGGCGAGTTGTCCTCTTGGCCCTGTGGTGGCCGGCCCAGCCTTGGTTTCAGGCGCTGCCTGCTCGGTGTCCAAACCTGAGGGTCTTCCCACGGCTCCGCCTCTTTCAGTAGATTGGTCCAACCCAGTACGTGACTGGTTCGGTCTTCTCCTCAAGTCTTTGCGTATGGAGTTTTTGACTCGAGTTATCATCACTATCAAAGGTGCAAAGACATGCTACTAAGTGGCTCCCAGAACTGAAGGGCAAGAGCTACGAGGAGAGATTAGAGGCATTAAATATGCCAAAACTTGAAGACAGAAGAAAAAGAGGTGATATGATCACTACATACAAAATAGTAACAGGAATTTTGATAAAATCGATAGGGAAGATTTCCTGAGACCTGGAACTTTAAGAACAAGAGGTCATAGATTTAAACTAGCTAAACACAGATGCTGAAGAAATATAAGAAAATTCACTTTCGCAAACAGAGTGGTAGACGGTTGGAACAAGTTAGGTGGGAAGGTGGTGGAGGCCAAGACCGTCAGTAGTTTCAAAGCGTTATATGACAAAGAGTGCTGGGAAGATGGGACACCACGAGCATAGCTCATCCTGTAACTACACTTAGGTAATTACACAAGTTTGCAGCTGTATGACATGATGTGAGAAGGATTCGACACCCTCTGGGCTCCGTGCTCCAGCTCCACTCTGACTGCTTCCTGGTGGTTCATTGTTTGAACCAAGGAGTGGCTCACTTCTATCCACTGCCCTGTAGAGTTGGATGCTTTGAGTAGTTCATCTTCTAGTTTCTCGTAGTTTGGTTCTTTGCACATTACACATGTGGGGTGTGTCCAGCGTTCTCGATGACATTATTTTGCACCCATTCCATTTTTTACAGAGTGGACAGTTGAAAACTTACTTCTGTTGGATCTGTGAGACATTGTCACCTCAAGGTGGACTGCTTCATGTCGCCTACCTACATGGCCCTGTTCTCTGATTGCGGGGCTCTTGTGGCGGATGCCTTTTGAATGAACTGCTCGAGGTGGAGATGAATTTACCTTTTCCCTGGTTTGGTTGTTGTTCTAGGTTCTGTCCACTCGAGAGTCACACTCGAAGAGGGTTATCATTCTGACTCCTTGGTGGCCAGCCCATCCTTGGCTTCTGGCACTTCTAGCCCATTGTCCAAACTCAGGTGCTATTCCATGGCTCTGTTTCTTTCAGCAGATAGGCTTAACAATGTACTGTAAAAAAATACCACTGGTATGTTTGGTTTCACTGGTAATGGCTACTGCCATTTGTATGGCGAGCAGTATGAGATTGCCTGGCACTCATTTTGACACTATCTGTCTTTCTTCTGTTTCTTTCTTTGCTGTCCTGTCCTTTTTGGCTTGGCTGTGTCTAGATCAGCATCTCCTGTCTAATACTATCACCTCTTATAGCTCAGCATTGGCAGAGCTGCTGCTGCTTACGCTTCACGGCAACACTTCCTCGACACTGTTCCGCAAGTTGTCTCTCGTTGTTTTCACCTCCAGCCTGCTCCTCCCAAGCCATCCTGGTCACTTGACCGTGTTTTGGTCTTCCTCTCCTTTGTTCGTTTAACAGGTTCCCCTTGAGCCCGTGATATATTCACAAAGCTGTGTTTTTGTTGGTTCTTGCCTCTGGCTGTAGGAGTGGGGGAGGTTCAGGCTTTTCTCCAGAGGTTTTATTCTTTTGGCCGTGGTGGCCGGCTTGTTCATTTGCAATCGCTGCTTTTCTGGTGAAGAATGACTCGACCAGCTTTTGCAGGGGTCCATTTGGGATTGATGCTTCGTTGGTCTGGCGAGGAGTGCATCACTTGTCTGGTGGAGGCTCCTCACTTCTACCTGCAGGTCACTGGTTCTGCCCCGGTGAATTCTGTGTTAGTTGACCTTGTTTCCTTGATTCTGTTCCAAGGCTCATATTCCCCAAGTCATCTGCAGTGTTCTGAAGTTCAGAAAGCTTGCGTTATACTGTTGTGCTCATGATATTCATAAGTACACTTCATTGGCTGCAGTCTTCTCGAACATGTCCTGGGTAGTGGCTCGGGAGTTCTGGCTCCAGTTGGGCCTGTTGTCTTGGGCCATGTCTCCCAGACTGGATTCTCTTTGTCCTAGTGCATGCCGCCTCTACTTCCTGTTAAGTTGCATTTTTGTCCATTTTTGTGCTTAGCTTCAGGGAGGCACTGGGGGCTCCCTCAGAAACCCAGCATTATATGTAATGAGAAAAGCAACTGGAGCTCGGAGGCGAGTCGAACCCGTGACGAGAGAATCCCAGCCGCTGACGCTAACCACTGGACCACCCTGACTTGGTAAAAGTCATACAACAGGATTTCTACTGAAATCACAGGAAGTCTAGAGGCCCCTCCTGAAGCCGGTCAGAGTTTTACACATGACTCCCAAGCACTCTGGTGTAGGCAACGTTGTTAGTCACCTCACAGCTCCAGTTGATTTTCTCATAGATATATATCACATTAGTGTGATTTCTCTGTGTATTATATGTGATGAAATGCCTCTTTCTGAATGATGCCCAGTGGCTCCGTGACTCCCGTGACGGGCGCCTGACAGCTGAGTGGACAGTGCTTCGGATTTGTAGTCCTGAGGTTCCGGGTTCGATCCGCAGTGGAGGCAGAGACAAATGGGCAAAAAGTTTCTTTTACCTTGATGCCCCTGTTACCTAGCAGTAAATAGGTACCTGGGAGTTAGACAGCTGTTACGGTCTGCTTCCTGGAGGGGGGGGTGTAACAAAAAGGAGGCCTGGTCGAGAACCAGGCCGCGGGGACGCCAAGCCCCGAAATCGTCTCAAGATAACCTCTGTTCCTCCATATTGGGTTACTTGGTTCGTCAGTTCTAGAACTGGGCAAGGAAAATGGCTGCATATGAAAGCCAGGCCACTTGATATTGGCATTTGGTATTGTGAGTGTTACACTGATTTTGAATGTTGTCTTGTTCTGTGTGAATTGTTAGTAGAGTTGTTTGGCATTTTGAGGCTTATGTCTTTGTTATCCCTCTGTTGTCTGTAAAGCTTCACTGACTTTCTGGATGCATTCCTGGTGTGGCAGTGAACTATCAGACGCTCTCAATACCTCTGTGAGGCAGAAAGGTGTTGGCTCTGGTTCCCTGTAGGTCAAACAGAACTCTCATGTTTCATGCATTTGCGTGTAGCAATATCATTGAGATGGTTTCGGGAAGCCGCCGGAGCTCATCCAGAAAACCGTTTCATTACATTCAACGTTGAGTTTCTAAATTGTTGCAAGAAAATTTAAAAAATTTGATTACTGTACCATTATTCATTAATTCTATATTTAACAAAAATTAACTGTAAAATGTAATACCTTGCAGGTATGGATGCATTAATGAAACCACTGGAAACCAGAAGTGAGATGGCTAGTAACAGCACCCCACAATTCTCTACCAGTACTGGAGAAGATTACCATAATGATTCAAGATTAAGAGAGGTATCTGATTTGATAGCCCAAGAAGACTCTCTTCCACTGCTTCCCCAAAAAAGTTTTGGTGAAGAACTTTCAGGTTAGTATTAGGTTCAATGTGCTGTACAGTGCAACATCAAACAGAAAAATCTTGTTTCAGCAGAAACCATCAATCTCTGAAACCATTTGTCCGAGCTCGAAACAGACACAAACTCTCAAAATGGTCATGGGGAAGAGAAAGAGGTGTGGATATCCAGATTGTCCTGCCTTCAGTCATTCATACTACTCGATCCACATTTTCTTTAATAATAACATTACAAAAAAAAAGTTTTTTATAAATTATTTAATGTACTGTATATACTGTACTAAAAATAATAGCGCAGTTACTGTTGTAGAATGTAACTATCTGTTGTGGGTGGTGCAGTCAGTGAGGACACAGACCTGCCTCGGTCACATACATCCCCCCCCCCCTCCCCCTACCACTTGTTACTAATAGCAATTTCATTTGCGAGCAGACAAGATGTTTGCTAGTAAGAGTAGGCTGGTAGTGGTGGCGGACATGATTAAAAGTCATTGGCAATTTTATCATAGTGCCACTGCTCTTTGCACTTCTTTAGAGAGGACCAGATTCTGGCTCATGGTCCCCGGTAGGCCTAAAAGAACTGTACGACTGATGGTACCTGGTAGTTTAGCACTATAACAGCATAATAGTTTCAAAGAGCCACAAGCAACTCCCCCAAGAAATAGTGTTTTATTGTTCGAAGAAAATATTGTGTACATATTAGTGACATGAATATATTTGACCATTCTGATGTTCCACACATTTTATTATATAAATTTCTCAAATGACACCATACTTATTACTGGAAAAAATAGGTAAAAACAAATCAAAGACAGTGAAATGAATGTCTAAAAAATCTCTTTGCAACAACTCGTGCCCCCATGGCAGGACAGGGCTCGTGAATCATGAGACATCCAGGTTTCACCATGGCCAAAGTCATGAGACATCCATGTTTCACCATGGCCAAAGGTAGTCATGAGACATCCAGGTTTCACCATGGCCAAAGGTAGTCATTAGACATCCAGGTTTCACCATGGCCAAAGTCATGAGACATCCAGGTTTCACCATGGGCAAAGGTAGTCATTAGACATCCAGGTTTCACCATGGCCAAAGTAAGTCATGAGAAATCCATGTTTCACCATGGGCAAAGTAAGTCATGAGACATCCAGGTTTCACCATGGCCAAAGGTAGTCATGAGACATCCAGGTTTCACCATGGCCAAAGGTAGTCATGAGACATCCAGGTTTCACCATGGCCAAAGTAAATCGAATACAATTTTTCTCCCGTCATCATGGAACACATTTTAACAAGATCGGGACAAAAATTTTACTTAAATATTTTTTTGCTTTTTTTTTGTGCAGCTGGGGGTTGTCCGGTAAATACAGTGGTGCATCGCAAGGGTTAAGTTTAGATTAGGTTAGCTCTTAACCTTTATGCATCGTGAAAGGCAGCCTCACGGGTGGTCGCCTACACAATCGGTCCTCATAAGAACATTTTATTGTTTCAGTGAACAATTTGAATTGAACAGGAACACATTTGGCCAATTAAGTATTTCTATAGGGCGAGGTTTATTTGAGTGATGTCTCGCTTGTCTTGGAAAAAGTATAATGTAGATATTATCATTGTCTTTTGTACCCTTAGAAGACAGACATGAATAATTTCACTAGAATAGTATAATGTGTATGCTAAATTTAATATTTTATTTGGTATTTAGGTATATTGGAAAACCTGACATCATTGGCCAACAACTTCACAACAAGAACTCCACCATCAAGTAAGAAAAGAAAATGTCAGTGGGAAAGCTTTGATGACAAGGAAAGTGCCGACAAAACAGCAAATCTCCGTGGAATAAAACTTCAAAATGCCTCTTTCAATCCACAATTCCCAGAAATTACATTTGGGGATGTGACTAAAATTTTTAATGAGAACCAGTCACATATAGAGGAGGAGACTGGTAATGACAGTGACATTCATGATCATGCAGTATGGCAAGACTTTACAGCTATCCTTCAGAAAAATACTTCTATGAAAAATATTTTTGACTTCAGTAATAATTTTAACAATTGCCAATATACAAAAACAATTTCAACATTTGGGAAGAAGACTCAGTCATGTGATTCAGTGACTTATAAAGACAAGTTATCTGAAGTTGAAGCAGATTTAAGCGACACACCATTTTTTAACCAAACTGTACCCATATCAAAGACATGCTTGTCAAGAATTTGTAATTTTTCAAATCCTGTAGCTGCTCCCTCTGACACATCTATTAGCTCATCAAGTACATCTGTTGACACCCCCCAAAGACTCCAGGACCTGCAGTTCGTTAATCAGAGGCTGACAACGCTTAGATCAACAATGTAGAACATGCATATACATACACTGGTATACCAGTACAGTGGCCCACATAGTTTCTATGCATGAGATTGTTTATTCTGTTAACTAGTTGGTAATTATTTTAACAACAAATTCAGTAGACAATGGACTGGATAAGGATCTGATATGGTGTAACCATTTTGAAGTCTAGACATAACAACACTTGACAATTCACTTTGGGGCTTTGTTAAAGAACAAATTCACTCTCCTACCTAACAACAGCTGAAGACCTAAAACAACTATCAGGGGACAGCTTTAATCATTTCCAACATCAGTAATAAAGAAAGTATCCAGAAAAGTATGGAGAAAAATACACTTTTGTAGAGAATGGATGGGAGCATACAGATAACTTAATTATACTTTATATACAAAGAATCAGATTACAATGGTTACATGGTAGGTACAGTATTTGTATATTTTATAAAGCCACTTTGTGACCACTATAAACAGAAGACTATGGAAAATGGAGGCAGCTACATTATTTAATATTGTGTTCATTAAGGTTTTTAGGTGTACATTAGCTACATAGTGCAGTCATACTGCAGTCATTTATACAATATTTGAAATTTATGTATTTTGTAAATTTCTCAGACTGATTAGATTTGTTATTTCTTTGAAAAAGATTAAATGGCATTGGCAGGCATTTACAACATGTTGAATCATAATTCCTTAGATCTATCCTATTATGATGCCTAATTATCCTCCTAATGAAAAATGATGTATAATAAAAGTTTAAATAAAATGTTAAAAAAGTTTAGATTGATGCATCATGAAAATATATATTTACACATTAAAAAATAAGGCTTTGAACATGAATCCCCTCCATGGTGTCGCCTTGTTGTGTTGAGGGGCTCACGTACACCTCCCTGGGACTGGTGAGGGTTGCCTTCACCCTCTCTCATGCCCTTCTTTGGGTGTTGCACATGCAGGACACCATGTAGGGTCCTTGTGAGTCACCGTTGGAGAGGTCACCCATGTGGGGCTGCCCTAAGTGGATGGCTGGGTGTCCACGCTGTGGTGGAAAGGAGAATGAGGTCTTTGCACCAGTATGGAAGAATGGACGAAGCAATAGGACTCCCTTGTTAAAAAGGGGGAGCACCGCTGGGAACGACGCACCCCTTCCTGCACTGGCTGCCCTGGTAAATGATATTCCTTTGTTCCAGGCCCCAGACTTTTTAAAATGAATGCTTTATGGAAACCGAAATGACCTCTCTTACCCAGGCTCATGTGGGGTGGGCGACCAGGCCCCTAACTCGGACTGTGATGGAAGACCGGGCTCTGTAGCTCCCGCTACATTGTGCCCAGACCAGACTACTTCCTCTCCCTCCTCTGTGGTAGGGTCGAGCCCCCAGTGGTGACCACCTCGTCCCCTGTCACGGCTCTGTCTCTCATTGTGACTTCTGCATCTTTTACCCCTCTCTCTCAACGCCAATTCCGCCGTGGCCACACTCGCACAATTCCCTTCTGTCCCTTTGGCGCCTGACAGCTGGGTGGACAGCGCTTCGAATTCGTAGTCCTGAGGTCCCAGGTTCGATTCCCGGTGGAGGTGGAAACAAAAGGGCAAAATGTTTTTTTTTGCCCTGCTGCCCCTGTTACCTAGCATTAAATAGGTACCTGGGAGCTAGACAGCTGCTATGGACTGCTTCCTGGATGGGGAGGGGGTGTAGCAAAAAGGAGGCCTGGTCCAGGAACGGGCTGCGAGGATGCTAAGCCCCGAAATCATCTCAAGATAACCTCAAGATACTAATACATACCACACCTTGTTTGATTCTGCTACGTGGACTAAATACTTTGATCTCGACCATCTAGATTCTACACCACCTGATGACTTCTTCCTCCATAAACACCTTGTTGATTTGGTTGATGCATTTGTTACTTTTAACCCCGCCCGTCTCTGTACATATTTCGTCACTGCTGCTCCTCAGGATGCAGCTAGCTGCATTGTCCAGCATTAGATGGTGGGGGGGCCCCTCTTAGCCTCCATAAATGCTCGGTTAAATGCCAGTGTTGGCACTGTTCTCCTCCCTCACCATGTTGCAACCAGTGTTAGGAACCTAAAAGACTGCCACAAGGATATTAAACATATCCTTGGAGCCCAAGGCCAGTCTGTCCTCCAGGTGGACAGTTCACTCGACCCCCCCTCGTAATGATCATCATCAGCCTCTTCGAGTTGTGAAAATCTTTTTTGATAGTAGGACCCTCCCACCTTCTATAATTCTTGCTGATGCCCAATGCTCCGTTCAGGAGTATATTCCCCTCTCCTAGATTTTGTAATAAGTGCTCGAAATTTGGGCATGGTGCCCTCAAATGCTGTGTGTGTGTGTGTGTGTGTGTGTGTGTGTGTGTGTGTGTGTATGCCCCATGTGTGGGACTAAAGTCACTCTTAAGATAGAGTGCTCATCTACCAAGGCTTGGTGCCTCAATTGTAGTGAGGCCTACCCTACCTTTTCCCACGCATGTATACACTACAAACTTGAGGAAGCCGTCCTCAACATGAAACACCAGGATCGTTTGTTTGTTTTTTCCTGAAGCGAGATGCCAAGTCGCTGTCTCGACCCTTCCACTAACATAACTTATGCTCATGTGTTGCGTTCCATCTTTCATCGCCTTTCCCTCCTTTCACAGTCTCACAACTGTTTCCAGGCCTTAGATCTGGACACACCCACCGCCTCCTCCTCTGTTCCCTCTGATCCAAGGGGTCCCCCCCTCCTGGGTCTCCATCTGGAGTTTCCTCCCCCTCCCCCCCCCCCCTTCCTTCCCAGTCTGAAATGTCTCCTGTGTCTTCTTTTCCATCTCCCCCCGATCCTTCTTCCCAACCCTCTCCCCAGTCTCTTGGCCGTCCACGCCACCTGACTGTCCAGGCTGTTGTCCATCATCCTTCCAGCAGTCTTCATGTTGTTCACTTCCATTCTTCTTCTCCTGTTGAGACAATTCAGTCTGTCACCCAGTATGTCGTTGCTGGAACACCTGTCTCTGAGTCAAAAACGTAAGCCTGACTCCTCTCCCTCCTCCTCCCCGGTGGGAAAGAAAGCATCGCTTTCTTCCTCGCCCCCACCTCTGACTCTATCACTGTGTCGCCTCCCATTTCAATGGTCGGGGCCCTTGTCCCAGCTATGGAGGTTCTTTAGCCCCCGATTCTCTCTCGGTTGCTGCCCTTGCCGAGGTGTGCTCCCTAGTTTTTGCCCCCTCCCCCTGCAGTCCTTGACTGCCCCTCTCCATTGTCTCCTATACTGAACTCCGTCCGTCTGCCTCTGGTCCTGGCCCCATGCTCCCTTAACTCCATCGTCCTTACTAAGTTTACCCATGCCCCCCTAACCCTGATTTCATTGACCCTGATCCTGATGTTATTTAATATGCTGTGTTCTTCTTTGCCTTTGTTTCTTCACTGTTCTCTATTGCTGTCCTTTCTCCTTTTAACAATGTCTGTTCTTCAAGGGAATATTTGTGGATTTTATGCGAACCCATGAACTCTTAACTTCTGATTACACAGTTTTCACTGCTTTGTATATGTCTCCAGGAGCCAATGCTTGGTGCTCGTCCGGGTTGCTTTTGTGGGTATTTCTTTCTCTTCCAGCAGCTTTTGCTGGGGCCCATAATTCTACTGCTCTCTTGATTCGTACTGATATTCCCTTCGACCCCCTACTTTTTCAATCGCCTTTCCAATGTTCTGCAACCCGTGTCTTTGTCAGTAAATGGCATGTGGTCTGTTCCATGTACCTTTCCCCACGTGTCCCACCTTCTCTTCCTGATCTTAACCACCTATTGGACTCCTTACCAGAGCCTGTGCTCCTCTTGGGTGATTTTAATTGTCGGCATACCCTCTGGGGTGATGCTCTGCTGAGCCATTTGTCCTCTCTTCTTCCCTGTCTCTTCTGAATTCTGGTGAACCCACTTCTGTGGACTCCACACTTGCACCTTGTCCTGTCCTGATCTTTCTGCTCATTGTCTCTTTACTTAGATTTCATATGGTGGGTTCTTGATGACCTTCATTTCCCTATCCTTGTTACCTTTTTCCCTTTTTACCCTCCCTTCTCTCTCTAGGTGGCAGTTTGCCAAGGCTGACTGCAACCTATTCACCCTCCATGCTACTCTCTCTGACCTCTCCCTCGAGCCCTCCTTTTTCATGACACTGTCTTCGACGCTGCCCTCCACTCCTTGCTCTACCTCCCGGGGCATGCGGAAGTGCGTTCCCTGGTGGAATGCGGACTGGGCTCGGGCTGTCTGCTGTAAGCGTGCTGCCTGGTAGAAACACCGACGCCGGCAGACAGCCGATTCTTTTATTTTGTTTCAGAAGGCAAGTGAAGTGGCACACATGACCATCCATACAGCTAAACATGAAAGTTGGAAATCGTATGTCTCCACCATTACGTCCAATACGCCTCTGCCGCTGATCTGGAAGAAAATCCACAAGATAGTGGATAAGTTTGTTCCAGATGTCTCGCTGGTCCTTCACCATCATGATACTCTTGTGGCGGATTCAGTGACGGTTGCGACCAAACTATGTTCCCATTTTTCGGCTGTTAGCTCCAATTCTAACCTTCCTTCTCCGTTAGCCTGTTTTTTTAATCTTGTCCATTAGATTTCCGCACTCGTCTCCGACTTGCCAATAACGATCCCGTCTCTCTGAATTTCAGTCTGCTCTGGCCCTCTGCGGTTCTACGGCAGTGGGATCAATGACATTCATAATAAGATGCTTTATCTCCCTCCATGCGCGTCTCGGTATTTACTGAATCTGTATAACTGGAGCCGGTCGGCCGAGCGGACAGCACGCTGGACTTGTGATCCTGTGGTCCTGGGTTCGATCCCGGGTGCCGGCGAGAAACAATGGGCAGAATTTCTTTCACCCTATGTCCCTGTTACCTAGCAGTAAAATAGGTACCTGGGTGTTAGTCAGCTGTCACGGGCTGCTTCCTGGGGGTGGAGGCCTGGTCGAGGACCGGGCCGCGGGGACACTAAAAAGCCCCGAAATCATCTCAAGATAACCGTGTTTGGGAGTTGTCGTCAGTCCCTGAGGACTGGCTCGATGTGGTTGTTCTCCCTATTTGTAAACCAGGGTCTCTGGGGACATCCCCTAAGGACTTCTGCCCCATTGCCCTCACGAGTTGCATCTGCAAACTCTCTGAAAGTATGGTCAATGTTCGTCTGATGTGGTTCTTCGAACACATATCACTACCTCTCCCCTTCTCAATTTGGTCTTCACAAGTGCCGCAGCATGACCCATGTCTTGGTGAACTAGGAGGTCTATATTTGTACTACTTTTGCTGCAAAGACCTTCGTTGTTGCTATCCTTATTGACCTGGAAAAGGCATACGACACCACTTGGAAATATCATATTCTGTCCCAACTACGTTCTTTTCGCCTTTGTGGTAATCTCCCTCTTTTCCTCCAAAGCTTCCTCTCTTATCGTTCCTTTAGAGTGAGCCACTCTAAAGGAACCACTCTCTCTGCCTCTTTACGGCAATACGAAGGTGAACCCCACCTACCTTGAGGCTACCTTGAGGTGCTTCCGGGGCTTAGCGTCCCCGCGGCCCGGTCGTCGACCAGGTCTCCTGGTTGCTGGACTGATCAACCAGGCTGTTGGACGCGGCTGCTCGCAGCCTGACGTATGAGTCACAGCCTGGTTGATCAGGTATCCTTTGGAGGTGCTTATCCATACCCAAGGTAGTGTTCTGAGCACTACTCTTTTTTTTTTTTTCCTGGTTGCCCTCAATGGTCTTCACTCCTCCCTTCTGGCGTCTTCTCTGCTCTCTATGTCGA